GTGATGGGTGGGTGTCTGAACGGGGGGGGGGGCCCTCGGGTCACCGTGCGCGGGGAGGTCCTGGCTCATTGTTTGCAGGTCGCCGTCATATAGGTCTGGATTCTTTCTCCACACTCGTGTACGGTGCATGGCCCTGCGCCCCCTGGCTTTTGCATCTTGGAGCGGGGTGGTGGCGAGGCCTGCCTGGGAAAACTAACCGTGTTCGCATTGTATGCTTGCTCATCACGTTGAGCTCGGCTGCTGCGACCCCCTTGGCTTCTTTGTCTCATGGAGGGGGGGAAGCGCCCCTGGATTGGAAACCTCGTGTTTGCGTATGTTTCTATGCTCATACGTGTGACAACGGCTGCTGGGCCCCCTTGGTCTCTTGCTCATGGAGGGTGGGGAGAGCCCTGGATTGCGTGAACCCGTTGTCTATCCTTGTTAGCTCCAGTGATGCTAACACGCCTAGCGCCCGGAGCACACACATATAGCTTATAAGATCCAACCGTGCCTCTCTGGAGGGCGGGCAAATTACACGTGACAGGAGTGTGGTCTGACAGCGCGCTGCACGTCCTTCTTCTGGGGGCTGCATGCTGGCGAGCACCGCTTATAGGCTCCGCGTAATTAACACAATCAGGATATAAATCATTTGAAAATGTTACATACTCCCCAATGAGACTCGTACTGTCGAGTAATGGTGAAATGCCGGTACCGGCTTTATTGAAAGAGTGTTTTACCACCCCCGACCATCCTCTACCGTAGGGAGGACGTCTAATCGTATGGGTGTGTTAGGTCGGCGAACCTCGCCGTTTGTGCCTGTCTGGGACCGGGGGTCTCGCGAGGGGAACCTCGGGACTCAGGAGCGTGGATATGGTCAGGGAGCGCTTAGTCCAGGGGCGAGCGCTCCCTGCCTCTGTTCGCTCCGCGCATGTGTGGGGGGCCTCGGGATCTCGTAGCTATGTGTTTTGCTAGGTACGCCCCCCCTCCCGAGTCTTAGGACGCGCTGTCCGCTCCGTATCAGCGTTTTGCATCTCGGACCGAAGGGCGACGTCGTGGTAGGGATGGGACGTGTTCCCGCCCGTGTCTCTTCTCGACCTCTTGAGGTTCCACCCGCCCCAGAGCGGAGACTGGACCCGACCTGGTATACAGCCATAGACGCGGCCGCCAACGACCTCTAAGCTAAGGTCCCCGATGCGCAAAGTGCATCTTCACTTCGTGGTCCTCAGCATTTACATGGTATACCTTCAACACGCGTACAGTACCGCGGCGCAGAGTCTGCCAAACCCGCCCTTATTTATAGAGAAAGCCCTGATGATTCCCCCTCCCAGTCCCCTGCCTCATCTCCCGTCCCATTTTACCCAATACTTGCACGCCCTCTACATCCCAATCCTCACGTTGGCCGTTATGAATTTTATGTCCCACTTATTATGAGGATTCGGCTGCAGGTTCCGCACACCGCGGTCTCGCTAGTCTTTCCCCGGAAGTCATGACCGACCTGTCACGTTTAGCCTTACATGCCCAACCCACCACCTGCGTGCCTCCATGGCGTTCATTTGAAATGTCCCTCCTTTTTCCCGACCTGGACTATCGTGTACCCCATATTTGGGACGGGGCACACCGAGGTGGCCTTGGCTCTCCTCCTCCACTCGTTGGTAGTGCTTCCACTTTTCCACTTCCACCACCATCATTTTCAGGAGTGCGGTTTCATTATGTCATCTCCTTTAATTCCCTCCTCCTATGCTACGAGCAAGGCATGATGTAACCAGGGGCCTCGTACTGCTATACCTTTATTACACCCCCTTGACCCATTCAATATATGGATACTTCCCCCCTACACTCATACTATCAGTCCTCTCCCCCTACCACCCCCACCTTCTTTGCACATTTGGAATTTTCTTTTTCCCTACCACATATACTACCTTATCTTATTCTGTACTTTTCTCTATAATCCCTATCCTCCCCTCCTTGCTCCTTCGAAACCTTCCTCCCCATTTTATATCCGACCCCCCTCTTCCTCGTATTTTTCTCCAGTCCGCATGTTCCGCCCCCTTCCATACCTCCTATTCTTCCATTACCAATTATAATTCTGTAAGATCTCTCATACCTCGCCCCTATCACTCTTTCATTCTCGCATTGTTACTCTGCTTATAACCCATCAGAACAAACATAACGTAACCTCCATACTCTACACCCCCCCTTTCCTCGTGCCATATTTGCGATGCGCGTACTAGATCGTTTACAAACAGAATCTCAAGATTGTTATTTTTCATTTTAGCCCTCAATTGAACACTCTGGCTTTCCTTATGACCTGGGGTACCCTTTGAATACTCACTGCTAATAATCCTGTCACTACTGCCCCTCCAGAACGCACCCTACAAACTCAAGTGATACATGTTCCCATATCTCACAATATACACTGAATTCCCCATATATATATTCCGAACCCTTCCCAACCAAAACTTTTAGACAAACTATATTTCTGTCATTAATCAATCCCCAATTACATTTCCATACGTCTATAAAAACACAACAATAACCCTTACCCATGAGGCCCCCCCCGCAATACCCCCCCCCCTCAAATTCTCCACTTCCTAAGTAATACTAGCCCAATCGAATTAAAATTTTCCCTTAACACCTGTCCCCCCACCCAATGCCTTCCCTTATTATATGAGATCTTCGTTTGGGGTTCCTCTTGCGTCAATACCACGAACTATACCGTATTCTCGCAGGGTATACTTCCATTGTACTATTTACTTGTCCGGGTAGGACTTCCCTTAAAGTACTCACTACACAAATCGTGTCAACTTCGTTCGCGGTTGGTCTTTTGCTCGCGGAGTTCACCTTAATCATCCGTAACTATCGAATCCCGCTCTTACTCATATGTTTCTCCCCCCCCCCCCCCCCCCCCCCTACCCCCCCCCCCACTACCCCCCCCCACACCCCCCCCCCTCCTCACCCCCCCCCGCCCCGCCTCCCCCCCCCCCCCCCCCTTTACCTGTTCTACAGTCTTGCGTTCTTCCCAGGGTAGCTTGGTCTCTATAGCTCTAGTACCCGCTGGATCTCCCTCGGGATCCCAAAATCATGTTGAGGATTATTTCTCCGCTTTGAGAATCATTTTACCTTAAAATAGATCATCATATATTTGTAAAAATACTTATATTTCCCATTTTGAGATTTCCTTCATATCAGTCTGGCTATACTAAATCATTTAGTTAGATTGACATATTATCCAGTAGGACAAAAGAAGAAAAACTCTTTGCTAATGTTGCTGTTTCCTCTGGCGTCTGCACACGGCCCTGTAGTCCCTTTTATGGGCATTAATAGGCGGTTACCTATGCTAAGTACCTATGCTAATGAATCACCTGGCACGCGCGCTCTACTTACGAGGAGTTGGCATTCATCAATCTAAGACACAGGTGTCAAAGTCAAGGCCCGGGGGCCAGATCCCGGGGGCGAGACCATTTCCAGTGGCCCCTGAGATGATTTTAAATTATTATATTAAATAGCAGCATTTTGAACAAAACTCTCTGGTCTTATTTGACAAGCACGAATCACCAGAATGATTGACAGTTGGGAGGACCAATAGTCTGATGATCCACCCGGAAGTAGAAAATCTTCACATTAACCTTCAATATTTGGTCCAGTTTTGGTCCAGTCCACAGGAACTGAACTAAATCTAATCAGAAAAGAATTTCCAGTCTAACTAATGTGAAACAAGTCATATATATAGATACCTTCATATTATAAAAAGTATAAAAAATGAAACCCACTTCTTCTTTCGGCCCCTGAACGGCCCTTTAATTTTTTTTTCGGCCCTCAACCAAAATAAGTTTGACACCCCTGATCTAAGAGAACAGCTGCGAACAATTCAGCGGCTTACGAGCGCGTTGATGAATCCCACATAGGGTCTTCTTAGAAATCTACTTAAGAACGACTTGAGAAGAAATTTAAGAAGATATTCTTGAATGAGGCCCATTGTTCAGTGGACATTCTGAAGATGCAGCCTGTAAATTTATTCATCTGTAAATAAGTAAATACTAAATCATGTGCAATGTGCATTACATTGCACATGATTTAGTATTTACTTATTTACAAATGAATACATCTGACAGCAGCAGGAAGGAAAGACCTGCGGAACCTCTCCTTCACACAGTGAGGATGAATTAGTCTGTCACTGAGAGTAACCTGCAGGGGTGACAGTCATGGTCCAGCATAGATCCTGTCCCCCACCTGCTGCACTGTGTCAAGGGAACAGGCCAGGACAGAGCTGGACTTCCTAATGACCTTGTCCAGCTTCTTCCTGTCCCTCTCTGTGATGCTGCTGCTCCAGCAGACCACACCATATAAGATGGCTGATGCCACCACAGAGTTGGCCCTGGCCCTTCTTGAAGAGGGCGTCTGTATTATGAGTTCTGTCCAGTTTGTGGTTCAGATGAACATGGCGACAGTAGCTCAGTTGGTACAGCATTGACCTTTGAGCCAGAAGGTTGTGGGTTCAAACCTACCTCAAGACTTTTTTCACCGATTCCCACTGATGTCTGCTGTCGTTGTGTCCTTGGCAAGAGACTGGGAACACCAGGTGCCACGGTGGGGCCGCTGCGGCTGTAAAGTGCCAAACTGCCGTTGTGTCCTTAGGCCCCCCCATTGCCTAGAATGAGTCTGGTGTGTGTGTGTGAATGGTTGGTGGTGGTGGGAGGGGCCGATGGCACATACTGGTTGCCCATGACAAACAATGCCAGATAATCCCCAGTCCATTAGGTGGCACTATATTTTTGACAAAAAGTCACAGAATAACAAAATGACAACAATAAACACAATTAATGACCATAAACCAAAATGAACAGACTATATACTGTACATACAGTATAAGAGCAATAGAATACCGCTTTGTGTGTTAGTGCGCACAGTTTGTGTATAAGTTACCGTTATCTGTGCAAAAACAGTGAAAAAGCAGTGTCCCTTGAGGAACCTATTTACATATTTTTGTTGGAATGTATACAGTAGTATCTTTCTTTGATCAGGTCGTGGTGCGTTTGGGTCGTCAACGCTGGAGGATCAGAGGCAAGATCGAGTCTGACGACACTCAGACTTGGGACCAGGAGGAGATGGCCTTTCTTCCACACATGAACCACAACTTTCACATCAAGGTTCAGAACATTTATAAAGGTTTTGTCTCACACTCCTCCTGATGTGACTGGCTTAGACCACAATTTTGAAATTCCCCTGAAGTGTTGAAATGGTTTAAATTATGAACCACATATGGATTGAATATGGATACAGTTTCTGTTCACTATACTAATTTCTTTTCCTGTTTCTCTGTGATGACCAAAGGTGACCGAGGCTAAAGGACTGAGTTGGCAGCTAGTCGGCAATGTTACATGTGCCAGTGCGGACTTCTTTGTCTCTAGACCACGGCTAATGCTGGTTGACATCACTGAACTAGGAACTATTAAACTACAGCTGGAGGTCTCCTGGAAGTGAGTCTTTTAAAAATGAAATTGAAATCCAATTACTAATGGCATCAATCAATTAGGATGCAAGTGACATACTGGGAACTTATAAGTACACATACAGTACATCACTTTTACAATTTTAAGGAAAGGGAGTGGGAGTGTTTGAAAGCAACCTTTGTAGAATTTTTTCAACAAATATATGCTCTAATAATTTCTATTGGCAATGAATCTCTCAAAGTTCATACCAACACAATTTTCCATTTTGGTAGCTGACTCCAATATTACTCAGGTAGAAGTGAAAATTGTGACTATAAAAATACATTATCATTACAATAAAAAATATGAACATTATTTCAAAACAATATCATATACAGTATTATTATTTAGATTTAATTTATCGAAAACCACAATATTGCTTTAAAGCAGCATAATAAGGAAGTAAATTGACTTTGGAAAAGTGGCTGCAGGTTTTATGTTTTTATTGTAGCAAAATGTTTCAGATTGGGGATGTAATTTGTTAAGTTTGTGTAAGCCCTCAGTCGTACAGGGATTAGTCAAAGCAAAGGAAGGTTTCTCACCCATCATCTGTACTTCTTAGCAAGTTTTCCCGATGTTTCGTCCTCAACCTGGGGACTTCTTCAGGGAATGAATTCTCGGACCGCGCGTTGGAGATTTATAACCTATGGGTGTGGTAAGCCACACCCTAACCCTGATACTAACTCGTAAACAATCTCAGGTCTGCTTGAAGTAGAAGGGAGCAGGTCTAACGACCCTGCTGAGGCTAACGACCCTAACTCCTTAGCATGTCACAGACCTATTGTCTGCTGGGATGCTCAAGTGGAGTGCAGGTTTCACCCCTCCTAACTCATTAGCATGTCACTGACCTTGTCCCAAGTTAGGGCGTTGTTTTTAGGATGTCGTCATAGATGCGAGGCAAAACAAATCTTAACCCTCCTCCTCTGTTAAGAGAAGGTTTCTGTTTCCTCACAAAAATGGCTTCTTTCACCCCTCTCTCAAACCAATTCTTCTCCCGAGCCAGAATTTTAACCTCTGTGTCATCCACCGTGTGGTTGGAGGCCTTGAGGTGGAGATGAACAGCCGACTGTGGCCCACTAGAGTTTTCTCTACGATGTTGGTAAAGTCGTTTCTGTAGAGTTTGTTTGGTTTCTCCAATATAGTGGTCAGTGCACTCCTCTTCACTACATTTAATTGAATACACCACATTGCTCTGTTTGTGTCTGGGTGTTTTGTCTTTGGGATGCACTAATTTCTGTCTTAACGTGTTGAAAGGTTTGAAATACACAGGGATTTGTGCTCTCTGAACATGTTCAGAGAGCACTTTCCAGATGTGGCTACCCCAAGTGGTCTTTTACTAAAGCCCAAAGGACGAGAAAGGCCAGAGACACAGTCCAACAGACAGAAGAAAGTAGGAGGAGAGGGGTGTCCTTACCGTATGTGGCGGGAGTTTCAGAGAAACTACAAAGAATCTTTAGGCAACACAAAATCCCTGTGTATTTCAAACCTTTCAACACGTTAAGACAGAAATTAGTGCATCCCAAAGACAAAACACCCAGACACAAACAGAGCAATGTGGTGTATTCAATTAAATGTAGTGAAGAGGAGTGCACTGACCACTATATTGGAGAAACCAAACAAACTCTACAGAAACGACTTTACCAACATCGTAGAGAAAACTCTAGTGGGCCACAGTCGGCTGTTCATCTCCACCTCAAGGCCTCCAACCACACGGTGGATGACACAGAGGTTAAAATTCTGGCTCGGGAGAAGAATTGGTTTGAGAGAGGGGTGAAAGAAGCCATTTTTGTGAGGAAACAGAAACCTTCTCTTAACAGAGGAGGAGGGTTAAGATTTGTTTTGCCTCGCATCTATGACGACATCCTAAAAACAACGCCCTAACTTGGGACAAGGTCAGTGACATGCTAATGAGTTAGGAGGGGTGAAACCTGCACTCCACTTGAGCATCCCAGCAGACAATAGGTCTGTGACATGCTAAGGAGTTAGGGTCGTTAGCCTCAGCAGGGTCGTTAGACCTGCTCCCTTCTACTTCAAGCAGACCTGAGATTGTTTACGAGTTAGTATCAGGGTTAGGGTGTGGCTTACCACACCCATAGGTTATAAATCTCCAACGCGCGGTCCGAGAATTCATTCCCTGAAGAAGTCCCCAGGTTGAGGACGAAACGTCGGGAAAACTTGCTAAGAAGTACAGATGATGGGTGAGAAACCTTCCTTTGCTTTGATGTAATTTGTTATTATCATTAGAAAGTTTCGGAATTGGTGAAGATTAAACCGATACAAATTCCAGCACCGTTTGGCAGATGCAGTCATAGCTAGATCCTAACATGTGCTAAAGGTGACATTACGCTGATTCATGTCTGAAATGAATCACACAGAGTACCTATGTGATGTCAACATGCAGTTGATCCAAACTTTATGCAAATCGACTGCTGCAGTGGCATCTCTACTTAAACAACTGCCCCTGTGACCTGGCAATGGATACAGTGAAATGAAATGTATGTATGCAAAAATTACAAAAATTAGCATCAGATCGGAAGTCAAAGAAGCAAAAAAACAAGACCAGAGTTGTGACTGGATATGTTGAGTATAAGATAAGATAAGTTAAACTTTATTACTCTCACAATGGAGTATGTGAAAACTTTTTTTTTCTCATATTCTCAAAAAGAATACAGAATGTTTTAAAGCATACAAGAACCAATCCAACACTAGGCGAGATCATAATGAAGCAACACTGTTACAAAGCACTTAGCTACAAAGCAAAATTCTCTCTGACCCTTTTAGAATATCCTCAGGAGTCCTCATTGTTAAAATAAAATCTTCGTACCTTTTCAAAATCCTGTAATGTTGCAATAATGAAAATAGTTGTGTGCGAGCGGAGGTGCAGACAAGCGTGATGAATGGCGCTCTGAACCAGAGATTTGGCCCAGAAACTGAGGGCCCGGCTCTGACCCCGACCCCATGCAGCACAGATGTCGTACAGAGCAGACGATTGGAGCTGTGATTTCATGTGTGGGTTATGTACAGCTGCTGAGTAAATCATATGCACTATAACACTGTCCACTCTTCCTTGGTAGATAACAGCCAAAATGTAGAGTGGGGCAAAAAAGTATTTAGTCAGCCACCGATTGTGCAAGTTCTCCCACTTAAAATAAAGACAGAGGTGTGTAATTTTCATCATAGGTACACTTCAACTGTGAGAGACAGAATTTGAAAAAGAATCCAGGAATTCACATTTTTGAAGAATTTAGTTGTAAATTATGGTGGAAAATAAGTATTTGGTCACTTCAAACAAAGAAGATCTCTGGCTCTCACAGACCTGTAACTTCTTCTTTAAGAAGCTCTTCTGTCCTCCACTTGTTACCTGTATTAATGGCACCTGTTTGAACTCGTTATCTGTATAAAAGACAACTGTCCACAGCCTCAAACGGTCAGACTCCAAACTCCACTATGGCCAAGACCAAAGAGCTGTCGAAGGACACCAGGAAAAGAATTGTAGACCTGCACCAGACTGGGAAGAGTGAATCTACAATAGGCAAGCAGCTTGGTGTGAACAAATCAACTGTGGGAGCAATTATCAGAAAATGGAAGACATACAAGACCACTGATAATCTCCCTCGATCGCAAGATCTCATCCCGTGGGGTCAAAATGATCATGAGAACGGTGATCAAAAATCCCAGAACCACACGGGGGGACCTGGTGAATGACCTGCAGAGTGCTGGGACCAAAGTAACAAAGGTTACCATCAGTAACACACTGCGACGACAGGGAATCAAATCCTGCAGTGCCAGACGTGTCCCCCTGCTGAAGCCAGTGCATGTCCAGGCCCGTCTGAAGTTTGCCAGAGAGCACATGGATGATACAGCAGAGGATTGGGAGAATGTCAGGTGGTCAGATGAAACCAAAGTAGAACTGTTTGGTAACTCAACTGTGTCAAAAGTGTTTGGATACTGAGTTGCATTCCAAGTACACCATACCTACTGTGAAGCATGGGGATGGAAACTTCATGCTTTGGGGCTGTTTTTCTGCTAAGGGGACAGTACGACTGATCCGTGTTAAGGAAAGAATGAATGGGGCCATGTCTCGTGAGATTTTGAGCCAAAACCTCCTTCCATCAGTGAGAGCTTTGAAGATGAAACGTGGCTGGGTCTTCCAGCATGACAATGATCCCAAACACACAGAAAATCTGTGGAGGGAGTTGAAAGTCTGCGTTCATTGCTCTCGAGAAGATCTGCATGGAGGAATGGGTCAAAATACCAGCTACTGTGTGTGCAAACCTGGTAAAGACCTATAGTAATTGTTTGACCTCTGTTATTGCCAACAAAGGTTATATTACAAAGTATTGAGTTGAAATTTTGTTATTAACCAAATACTTGTTTCCACCATAATTTACAAATATATTCTTTAATAATCCTACAATGTGAATTCCTGGATTTTCTTTTCACATTCTGTCTCTCACAGTTGAAGTGTACCTATGATGAAAATTACAGACCTCTGTCATTATTTTAAGTGGGAGAACTTGCACAATTGTTGGCTGAATAAATACTTTTTTGCCCCACTGTATATGGCTTTATATAGGTTCAGAATTATTATCATTGGTATGATATTTGTTATTTACAGCTTACTGGTGGTGATTCTGCAATTTTTAAGACATATATTCTTCGTACTTCATCTAAACACATAGACAGAGAACACACATAAAAATATTTCACTCAAAGAAACAATGATGCATAGAATATAAAACAGAATTCTCATTAACTGGGCAACTCTCAAACTGCCATACATCCATCTATCTTTTTATACTTTAACTATTGCTGGTTCGCGGGGGCAACAGTGTGAGCAGAGAGGACCAGACTTCTCCACTCAACAGGGGCAAGGTGAATCAATTTTTAGGGGCTCTCACCCCTGAAATATAGGCAAATAATAAAATGTTCAGTTGTGAATTATATGTACAGAAAGATCTGGCATAATTTTGCCGTCAGTTCGAAAT